AAGCATTTCAGTCTATTTTTTGTGAAAGATCCAAATTCTGCATTTATGCATTAATGGATTTGTTTTTTAATGGACAGAGAGATCAGGCACAAGAATAAACAGAAAAAACTGTTTCTCTGTTCTGTTATTATAGGATAAATAAGCTTGATAAAATCTTTCCTTAAAAATGTAAAGAGCAAAAATAATCCCTGATGCATAATGACCAGACTAGGAAAAATCCAGTTTAGTCTTTTTTTCTTAATTTGTAATAATTTGCTACAAAAAAGCAATCTTAACAGTAAAATCTTTAATTCAGAAAATAACTTCTTAAATGCCATAAAAAGCAAATTTTGAGAATGAAGATCTGAGTACAAATTAAAACTTCACAAATACTCAGTCCCTTCTGAAGCAATCGGATGGCATATCACATAAGAAAAAATAAATACAACAGTTATTACAGGATATTTAGCAACAAGAGTTTTGTCTGGCCATAAAAATTACGGATATTTATTTCAAAGATATTTCTCTCTAGTCTATAGTGATATCTTTTTTAATGACTGTATAATTTAATTAGGTGTTTTAGCTTAGAAATACTATTAGCAATTTTAAGCACTCAGAAACCTCTCCCTGCCCACATTAATTCCTACTACATGTAAAGAAATAGATTTTCAATTACAGAAAATAAGAATTTCTCCATAGCTTCCTGATTTTTGTAAAAATTTGATTAAAAAAACACCAACCCCCATGATTCTTGGAAAAACGGCATTCAAATTCAACCTTGTGTGAACATAGTAACTGGTAGGATGTGACATAGGCTGGCAGGGCTACCTTATATTTTATAAATTGTGACTAGTGCTTCTTTTATTTAAATTAAAAAAAAAATTTGAAGAAGAATATTTATCTTATTCCTCTGTTCTTTTCCAGTGAAAAGAACATACAGGGTAAAAAAATACCGCAACATCCTAGCAGTCCTGCAAACACAAAGTAGGGTAAAGTTAAATTACAACTTGACATTTATTTGCAGGTTTTCTTTAGAAGAACAATAAGTGCAAATAGAGGAAGAAATATTTGCTACCAGGAAATTTGTTAGCTGGTTTTGAAATCACACTGAGAAGCAGTAGAAAGACTAATGGCCCTATTACAACTCTTATGAACCAGAAGAAAACAATGTTTGTGGGAGTGTTGTGTAATGGTATAACAGACATGTTTGGACCTCTGAGAGTGTCAGATTGTAAGTGATTTTCATTATCAGATGTTGAAATGTACTGTTATAAAATCAGATTAACCTGCAATTACACAAACATACCTGGGTTTAAAGCATAATCAAGGATGCTTGGATATTAGAGTAGCACTTTTAAAAATGATAAGGGACTTGAATTCAAGTTGAAGTCCCCATTACGAAACCAGGGAAGAATTTGGTTCACGGGTTGGTAAGCCAGGTGTGAAGCCAGGTAAACGTGGAATGAAACTTTCACCCATCTCTGCCCTTGTAGCTCAGGAGTCAAAAGGAGCTGTACAGCAAGGGCACCTTAACCCTTGAGGGGGCTGCAACAGTGATAATTACGGTAGTAAAGACTACAGTGAACAAGTTAACCTTCTTCTGCAGATATACATGGAATAATAGTTTCACCTGGTTCATAAACATGAGGTGATTTATTCTTTCTCCCATTAGAATGCTATTTTGCTATTAACAGCTATTAAAGAGACATTGTCTTGCTTTCTATTTGTTATAAACACAAGACTCTGTGTCTTTCAGCTGAACTGCACCAAGTGACATATCAGAGACATCTAGTGACCTCCACACCTATCCTTCGCATGTAACTTAAGTCAGTGGAGCAGGATGGTGGTAGCATTTATGAGCACCAATCACACTGTCTACAAGTAAGATTAAGACTTTCTGCTCTAAAATGCTGCTCAGTTGAAAAAAAGCACCATCCCAGTTTGCCATCCCAGGTGTCCATAACTTGCTGAATTCTTTGCTTCCTGTTTTTAAAGCTCATCTTCAGCCCTTCTCTGAGAAGGGGAGACACCTCTATGCTCTTCCTGATATTCTCAGGCATAAGGGAGCTGTTGGGGACACTGTGACAATGATTTGGAAGAGAAAAGGAAATGCAGAAAGCACAGGACAAGGTTATAACAAGGTAGGATGGTAACAACAGAAGAACAGCATGATAACAACGTAAACAGGAAATATAAGTGGGGTTGGGGCCATTGGGGCCACAAAATGAGAGAATAAGAAAATAATTTTCAAGGTTATCGCAGGTGTGACCAGCATTATGAAGAAGAAAAAAAAACCAACTTTCAGGAGGTTAAGTAAACAAAGGAAAGGTTAACAAACAGGCTCATGGAAGAAACACACACCCACTTTCATAAACTGAAATTTAACTCTAGCGTCTGTATTTCTTGAAGCAGCTAAGAAAGCAGTATTGACCAGCTTTTGTCCTTGTCATGTTTTGCATTTACCTGCCTACATTGTGCAATACTGAACCTACTCTTAGAATATCCTCCATTTGTTTCACTACCACTGAAATTATAAAACCTCTTAATGATTGATATGGAAACACAGAAGAAAAGTTGTCTCAATACTCAAAAATTGTTTGTTCTCTATCAGATCTGTATCCTTGAATCTTGCTGAGCTTCTGGGATATGCACCTCAAAGTAAGATCAGAGAATAGTTTTCAAGTTATGATAGTTATATAGACTATTCAATTAAGCAATCATAGGCAAGCACAGTAGAAATGTAAGTATTTCTAAATATCTATTTTAGCTTGCTCCATCTTATCAGTATGCTGATGAAAATCAAGAGAAGAAAAGTTTAGAGTTTATCAAATCAAAAACTTCTTCTCAGTAGTCTATCACACAAGAAAACATTTGTCTCCCTCCAGGTTTCCCAGGCCATCAGTCAGCATGTGAAACTCACTGATAGAGGCCAAGCCTCAACTGCTTCTCATGCTTACCTAACCTGTGGTTTCTTCCAAATGCATTTGAAGTGCTAAAGTTGTTCTTACCAAGAATGCAAAAGCTCGGGTTCTGCCAGTGACCTTTTCTAGGGCTCATCTGGACCCCAGTTAAGGGCTCATGTTTTCAGTTTGTTAGGTTCTTTTTCCATAAAACAATTAGAAAACCTCAACCAAAAGAACATTAAAAGCATTAAGTCAAACACCCAAAAGCTAAGAAACTTTAAATTCAACAAGAAAATTTAAACAAAGGTTACTCATGCAAATTTAAAACAGCTCTCTTCTGTCAAGGTACATACAGCTGGGTACCTCTTATTTATTTTTCACAGGACTGGTGCCTTTTCCAGGGCACTCAATAAACAATGCTGCAGGAATTAATCAGGCTTCTGTGGACACACCACCAATGACAAAGGACTCTACATCAGTTGATAAGTATGAAGGTGCAGGGTGCAAATGCAGAGTGCCTGTGGAGGTGATCTAGGCTTGCTTAGATTCAGTACCATCTCAGACTAATATGGATATTGCTCACATTTCCCACCTAATCTCAAAGCACTCAGCTGTCAGCCTTGCTGCAACACCAAGTTGCTGGCCTGACACCACAAGGATGATGTGACCCCATACATCTTATTATTTGTTTGAACTGAAGCACAGCCTCAAACTCCTTTCCTAAAAGTCTCCATTAGATAAAATCAACTCTCAGCTGAGAATAATTTTAAAGTGCATGGCAATGCATTTCCTTTTAGCATTGATCTGCATCTTGAAGCCTCTGTACTTACAGGACTGGTTTAAAAGTCATTTTCCTGTTGGATAAAACTGCTATTATTTATGATTTATAAATTTCCCCTGAAGTACTCTGTAAGTTATATAAGCATATACTTCTGTGGCTGTTACCTTTACATATGCTGCAGATATACCATTGCTTTTTGTCCTTGGTGCTACAATTATGAGATTCTACAAGACCTCAAGTAATTATCAGTGATAACTCCTCAGTCTGTAATGAAAATAATGTGGTGTTCCTGGTGTATACTGATGATCTCTTTGTTCTGGCTTATCTTCACTGACATTTACAATTTAACATTTGCACAGCCGTTCTGTGGAAACATTAGGTATTTCAAATATGTATTGAGAAATTGCTTTGTTCTGCTCCAGCGCTGGGTATTTTTAAATGTGTGAAAGAGTTTCTACAAATCAACAAAGTACCCTCAAATATTTTCCTCACATTTTAATTGTTTACCTCCTGAAGAGAACACCTCCTGCTTATCATTCAAGTTAAAGTTCATTAAATTTCTATTCATATGCAAATTCAAATCATACTACATGCTTTTTGTATTTCCTGTAGGTAACAAGATAAATCTCAAGTTACATGCTCTATAAATTAGACAATTTATAGGACTTTCTTATTTCATATTGGAGCTGCTAGGTAAGTTGAACATCTTTAAATTAGTTTCCGCATAAATTATGTTGAATTCTCTGTATCACAAGCCTTTCCATTTTATATTTTTTTTCTTTGTCTCTCAACATTTTTATTAAAACTTTCACCTAGTTTTACAGAGGATATCACCAGAGGTGAAAATACTTTAAAAGATGGATGTCACAATGAAAGAATAAGCATCCACAATTGTTTCCCTCTTACACCAATTGATAAAGACAGCATGCCCCAGTTTATCTTAACATGGCTTTCTCTTATTAATGCAGACATGTGTGTATTGCTCACCTGTAAAATTAAGACTGAAACCATAGTTTTTTGCATGGGAAAAATGGCATATATCTGCTGGTATCTGCTGTACAAATAAAAAGCTTTGATAGTTTGGGGTTTTGTACTCTGTAGCTTAAACTCTTATAGACTAGCAGACTGAGTATATTGGAAAAATATTTTAATTATTTGGAATAACCTAACTCTGCAACTACATCAATGACATACATGTCACTGAAGGCAAAGACTAACATACATAAAACTTCAAACCCAGACAGCAAAATTCTAAAATATTGCCTATTTAATTTTTTTTTAATGCTGGACTCTACTCTCAAGAGTAAAACAGTCTGTTTTACATTTGGCTTTAAAGAATGCTGTCTCCATGGTTGTTCCATAAAATCCTAGGAGTAGCTTGTTACCTGCTCCCATGTTATGCTGAAGGTTAACCTGCAGGAATTCCTCTACAGCCTGGCTTTGCACGTTTGCCTGAAGATGGGATAGAGGAATGATTTGTACAAGGTACATACAGTTACCATCTCCATTTTTATCTAGATGTACTATTGTGTTCCATTTTTATGTTTTGTAAACTCAGTGCTATGATGTATAATGTGATGTGGGCTCTACTTGATAGAAAACAAACAGATCTTTTTTAATTCCCTGTATAAAGATGCTTAAATGTCTCCTACTTAATGACACAATGGTTCAATTCACAGAGAAAAAGATACTCTTTTCCATAACACATGGCACAAGAAACTTATTGCTAGGCGTTAGGTTAGAGCTGCAATCAAGTGCTTGAAGAGCTTGAAAGATTCTGTCAAGAATTCCTAGATACAGTTAAAAATCAACTAAACCTACTGCATAAGTGCCAGTGTTTTGTTTTTGCCACTTCACTACAGAGTGAAGAATAACTCAGTTTGCTGATTCAAGTCTCCCATAAACATCACTGCTCTGCAGGTAGTTTCCAGGAATGCGTTCCCTGTCCTTACAAAGATCAATGTCTGAAAAAATCTCCTATTTATAACACAGCAGTAAACTAAAACAGGTCAAACAAACATTTTAAAAATTATTATTAATTTCACATTATTACCTCTGATTTATCTTGAAAGCCAAGGTTCCAATTGTAACACAAATAGATGGTTTTGTTCATAGGTTTTGTTTCATTATCACTGCTTGATAATGAAATGGGAGATACCATCTGTCAATTAAAACATTGGATTTCCAGACTTGAAGGAGATAATTTATCTGCCTTTGTGCTGCAGCTGGATTAGTGGGCATAAACAAAATGAGCAACAAAGTGGCTTCTTAGGAAAAAGGCAACATTTTCTGTGGTTTTATTACATTCCATTTATATTTTGCTCACTGGTAGATAGGAGAGTGGTAACTCTCAAATGAGGGGCAGGGATTAGTTTTTCATAACTAGTGAGAGACACCTAGGTAACAGCTCTGAAGTATGGGTGCAAACTAGCCAGAAATTTCAGATTAAAATCCCTGCCTATGCAGAAGTGCTCCATGGGCACCTCACACTCCTAACAGACAAGTAAACTGAACACTAAAAATACACCAAAACAGTCACAACCAGTTCACATGTACGATCCTACTCACTTGAGGACTGCCATATACCCTTGTATACTGTAAACCATTTCAGAGAGCTTAGACAGAACAGAGAGACTCAAAGAAAATGACAATATACTTTTTCCAAATGTAGAAATCTTCATTTCCTTCCCTTCTCCAACTTCTTTTGTGCTTCTCCTATTTCATTTCATGTATATTTATGAGTTTCTTCTCCTTTTCCTCTCCTCTCATCCTTTCAGAGTTCTTCTGGCTTTTAGGGGTTGGGGGTTTTTTTGTTTGTTTTCTTATCTTTGATTTGAAGTTTTCCTCTCCTTTAACTTTTCCTGGGTTTTATCTAAAGTTATGGAGAAAAATAGTGGGAATTACAATTGACAGCAAAGTGACTACAAAACAACACAAACAAGTTTAACAGCTTTCACCTCATCTTGCAGTCCTCCACTTGGAAAAGAAAATAACAGCATCTGGAGGAAAAATATTTGCTACCAATGGGAAAAAAGCTGATTTCCATACTACACTGAAAAAATGCAAAGAGGCTGCAAGGAGGGTCTACTGCCACTCCAAGGAACCCAGGGAGAGAATGATGCCATTCTGTACTTTGTGAAAAGTTTTAATACCTATGCCTACCTGGGGATAAAGGAATCCCTAATTTCAAGCAAATTCCAGTCCCCGAATGGCACACAACTGAACTACACTAACTGGCATTTAAATGAACCTTCTGGCAAAGGGATAGAGGGATGTGTGGAGATGTACACTGATGGCACTTGGAATGACAAAAGGTGCAACTGGAATTGCCTCATTGTCTGCCAGTTTTAGTACTGTTCCCTGCTGCTGTCTGGCAGGATCCCTGGAATATGCCTTCCTATCCCTTCTCTCTTCATTTGTAGGTAGTGAACACAGATAATGCAGCATGAAAAATAAGTCACTCTTTTCCAGCCTAATTTGTCTTTTAAACAAATGCCAGATGTAAAGAGGAAATTACTTATAATGAGAGCAGTGGCCATTTAGTCTGTTCTATTATTCATTGCTCACTGAATTTGACAGGATTGCCTATGGGTTCCTACTGCACTGTTAACCTGCTGACTTATTATAAAAGCAAAAAAGATTTCTTGGGCATGTACCTGAAGTGACTTGCAGCCACAAGATCTTCCAGCACCCCTTTACCTCTGAGCCTCAAAGCTGTGTGTATTTTGATCCTTTTCTGTAAGTTTCCCTCACAAAACCTACCTCTACAGACACTCCTACTACAACTGCTGTTGCTCAGCCTGCATATCTCTGGCCATCTTCACCTGTAACAGATTCCCTAAAATAGGAAATAAGCAGTGCAGCCTGAGTGACACAGCACTATGAGCACAAGGGGACTCACCCACTTATATTTCCAATGGGAAAGCTTTAGAGTCAGCAGGTGTTTATACCTGAAGAGCAGTGGCCAGAAGCCACCTGTCTTAAGCCCCACCACCAACTCCTAATCCCTTTCCTGACTTGAAGTGGAAGCAGCACTAAAAGCCCAAAGTCCTATGTCATGTGGGATGCGCGTGGAAGAAAACACACAGGAGCTGAGATGTTGCAGAGCCCATGTGGCTTGGGGAGATCAGTAGAGCCGTGGTGAGTTCAATTTTTTTTAAGCTAGATAGTAGGGAAATTCAGACACAGCTAATCTGTGGGCACCACAGTGCTGCTTTGCAAAAACTAATTGAGATTCCCATGAGGCTAAGCTTGGGTGATACCTACATTTCTGAACCAGTCTATACTCTGTGCTCATTGCAAAAGCTGCTCAGTCTGTACCCTCCAGCTCAAGTTAGAGGATTATTTAAGACAATGCTATCTCAACAGCTTTGTTACTGAAGTTAAGTATTCTCAAGGTTAGATGCACAGTCATGCAGTGCAACAGGCACATCCAGAGATGTGTATGAATTTTTTCTCTTCCTCTGGGGCAGCTGATTTCAACATAGCTTAGACAATGAAGGCTCTGCATAAGCTCCACAACAGAGTGCAAAGGCTGGTTGAGCATCCAGACATGCCTCCATATGTACTGAGTGAAATACCTGGCTATGAGCCACACTCTCCCATGAACTTTGTTAGTTCCAGCCTGGTCATGGAGAGCAGAGCAAGGAGACATCCAGCTCTAGAGCTAGACCACCTCATCTCACACTCTGTGTATCAGGGAGACAGAACAAAGTACAAAGCTAAGCGGGGAGAGAAGGCGAGCTCACAGCTGCTGTCAATGCAGGAGTCAGCAAAGGAGCTGCTTGGAGCTTCACAGCCATGCATATCACTGTAATTCCAGATCAGCAACTGCCTGTGCACGACATTCTTGCACGGCCTTAAATTCAATTACTCAAGTATTTTGAGTACGTGTTCTCAGCACCTGTTCTATGACAAGGCATGGATCTTCCTGGCCTCCGTTCAGCCCTCTGCTTGATGTCATGACCTGTGAATCATTCTTGCTGTTATTCTCTGCAAACTGAGCAATTTATCTTACAGGTATTTACTTAGGATGATTAATGCAACAGGGCTAACATCAAATCAAGCCACCTTTCTGCTTGAACAGTTTAGTGCCTGCAAGTGGTCTGCCTCCACAGGTTACTCAGTTATTCATTTCAGCAATATTCACATCCTTCATCACTATAATGCATACTAAATAGGACTGTTTCTCTTCTTCTGGGAAACACAAAAGTTATCCCAATATGTGCAGAGAGAAAAGCTTTGTGAGCAAAGTCCTCAGTTTATCCAACACATCTATTCAGGACTTAAGGAAAGCCACAAACTGTTAACTAATGCCTTGTTTCTGGACAACATAGCCAAAATATAAACTGCTGATTCCTGTATCATGCAAGGCCTAGGCAGACTGTTATGCTGCTATGTTAATCCAGTTGAAACAGGTACGTAGAAGGGAAATGAGGACTTTAGAGTCCGCAGGCACTGTTTCACTTTCAAACTCTATTCTTACTCGCAAATGTTTTGCAGCTCACCCAGTTTTCAGCATTGTGTGACTCCTGTTGAGAAACTAAATTTGCCACAGGCACGAGGAAATGGGAACAGAAACATCACCTCATACAGTAGTTTTCCACTCATTGTGTTCTAATAAAGTTTAGGAAGTTTACAATGATTAACATCAGCCTGAGAATGAAGTTGGAGCCTCTCAAACATTTAAAGCCATGGTAAGTTGTTTTTTTTTTCTTCTATCTTGCTTATCTCCAGGGGGTCATAGAGTCATCTAGAAAATCTCAAGCCAATTGCAGGTGTGTGAAAGAAAGTGGCTGCCTTCAGTGTCAGTCTAATGAATATGTGCTACAGCAGAAATGTTCCCCCACCACTCCATGTTTGGGCATTTTCCCCTGTGGTCTCCCTGGAAAGAGGGTAAAGGTCTACAGCTACAGATGCTGGCCCCCTTCTGACACTCCAGCTACTTGTGATAATAGATGAGGCCCTAAAACCTCAAAGCAAGCAAATATTTCTCACCCTGCCTGAATCTGCTCCCTCCAGCAATGCTGGTGACAGCAGGCAGGGCTGGAACCAGCAGTCTTGGCCTGGAAAGAAGTTTGGTTTGACATTTGCGCAGCTAATTTATTTCCTGTATCTGAGTGAAAGCGCAGCACAGCATCATCTGATTTGTACAAAGACAAGATTCCCCAAGGCTGGCAACTCTTTACTTCAAAGTTATTTTTCTGAAACACTTATGAACTTATTTTAAAAGCCTAATCCACCCTATCTTAACCTTAAATACTAGCTGTGCCTCATAAGACTGCCACCATTCACCATGTATTTACCAGCACTTGTGCATGTTCTGGACCACCCGGCTTGCTGGCAAGCCAAACTGTGTGACGTTCAATTTTCAGCCAATGGAGAACACTACTTCCAAAGGTGAGAGTAATGACACCACCACCAGGATTAAGTAGGATTAAAATCAGGATAAGCACATTTCTTGCAAATAAACTCATAAAGAAGCTTGGTTTTGGCAAGATGGATGAAAGATTAGTATCAAACATCAAAGGTGGAAGTCACATGTCAAGTTTTGGGGGAAAGCGTTACTGATTCTACCTTGTACAGTAGAAAACATTTTTTCCGCAAAACAAGTGTTCAGAATTTTTTTTTAATTCTATAAAATATATCCATTAAAAAAATTATCCTTAGTGGTCATAATTTCCTTAAAAATGTCTTAGTTTATATTTTCTGGTTTTTGTAGGAGTTTAAAAAAAATATATTGTCATTTAGGTGACTTTGAGGTCCAAAGGGGCATGCTTGGAGTCTGAACTTTGCTTTCTGTAGGTGCAAACATACACCCCTTTGGTTATCTCCACTGCAAGACAGATAGTTGCATAGATTTTAATGTCCCCACCAAAAGGTTTTTAACCCAGGTTTCAGTTTGGCCTTATATCTTTCCTTGTCATCAGACAAGTGCCACATGCAATACTGTGTACAGGTAAGAGGGACATTTCTCAGGAACTGTGTAGTGCCATCTCCACAAGCATGGAGCAAAGCCAGAGCCAGCTTAGCAAAGCCTCTGAAAAGTTTTCTGTGTGCTTTTTACTCTGTGTAATAGGCATTGCAGCAGCCTGACCACAGCCATGATTTTTCAAATATTTAAATGAAGCTAAGCTTGTAAGCAGCAAAGGATTGTTGAACATATATACACAGCTGGAAGAGAGTTGGGTGCATGAACCCCTTGGATCTGCAGTAACCTTAGGGGTATCAGCACTCATGCTCTGAAGGCTGCATGCGTTACTCATTAAATATCTCAGATTCTGACTGGTTATTATTATTATGAGATTATTAACTTGTGAGTAAATAAGATGGTTTACAAGGAAAGCCCAAGTAGTTTCCTGGCAAAAAAGGACCATCATTTTTCACTACAAGTGGCTGTCTCCTAAAGCAGCTTGTGCATGTGTGAACATTGTTTTGCTGATCCTAAGCAAACTGCGGTCAAGGCTTCACCCTTTCTTTGGAAAGGCTTGTGCCACTTTAAGAACACCAAGTGGGAGGTGATACAGGCACCACTGTACAAACAAGTACCTGTACACCCTACTGCACTCACCTGAGCATCGCACAGCGGAGGGGACGCTGCCCTCACCTTCCCTGCTTTGGCTGGCAGGTTCAACACCAACTTCTCTAACACACACCCTCGCTGCCTGGCAGCCGACAATGGACACCCAAAGCAACTCAATTTTACCTGCAAGACACCTTAAGGACACTGAGAAGGTAAGAGCGGACAGGAAAGAGCTGAATAACTGCAGAACCATGCAAACTTTAGAGGAAGCCAGAACTTATTTCAGGTAGTCAAGTTGGGAAACGTGAAAACATTCAACTCAAATTTAACCACTTGCTGGTCTTTCTGCAAAAATAAGGGGATATCTAAATTATTTCTAATTTGGTTATGAGGTTGTCACCAGGGAAGGGATGAAGAGGAAAACAGTTGCTGTTCATGTAATTTATTTTAAGTTGACTAATACCAAAATTGTTTGCTAAATGGTTATAAAGTTATGTCTGCAAGTGCACTGCATAAAAAATAACAAAGGATTGCCTTAAGTCAGCAGACCATCAGCTTGTATAAGTTTATTCAGAAGTGTTTGAAGTCTAAGTATTTCAAACCAAAAGAAGTCTACTTGTCTTACAGGTGTATATAAACCCTCTTTACAATACACTCAAGAGTCAGAAAAACAATAGACATATGCCAGGAGCTCTAAGACAACACACAAAGCCACCTTATTAGATTAAATTCAAAAATTAGAATTTGTGTGTCCAGAAAAAGTGATCTGTCCAGAAAACACTTCTCTTGCATTTTAATTTTCCTTGTAGTCACCTGCTTACTTTGGAAG